CCCCAAAACCCCAAAACCCCAAAACCCCAAAACCCCTTTATTTATGAAATTTATTGATAAATAAATTTCATGGAAGAATTTAAGAAACAGCAGGAAGAGAACAGGAAAAAGTACATCGACTACATCGAAAGAAGACGTCAAGAGATCAAGACCAGGCAGAGTGATGTACTTGACAAACTAAATAGGAACCTCTCTGAGAAGTATGCTATTAAATAAGAAAATCAATGAGAATAAAGATGAAAATAAGCAGTATTCAAAAGACTTCTTGAAAGACATCATTTCTAGACTTCCAAAGGAGAAACCACAGAAGCAATATACTGATATAAATGAGATACTGAACCATCTCCAAGCAAAGCGACAGACTTTAGCGACGAAGTAAGTACTAGGATTATCCTTTAGAATGGGACTTCCTGTTCCTAAGGAGTCAGTCAGTTTTATTGAAGACGCTGAGGACATGGTAAAGGCTGTCAGCGAAGAGGATGTCAAGATGTTCATCATACCTGGCAAGGCGAAAGGGCATAACTACAAACTCACCAAAAAGGATTATTTAAAGCTATCTCGCTTCCATCATCCTAAGCAGACAATTGCTGAGTATTTCAAAGATAACAAGTCTATCGACCTGAATACTAAGAAGATAGAGAAGTTCCTAGAACATGGAGTACTTGACAATGTTCTGTTTAATTTCTTATTCTCAAGAGGCCTTGGTCTCAAAGATGGCCTGATCGACATAGACAGAGCATATCTCATGATTAGGAAAATCAATGAAAGTGAGCTAGACTTCCCTGAAAAAGTTCCAGATCAGCCCCTCAACGATGATGAGAAGCTTGAAATTGTATGAAGCTTCATGAAAAGGCATCCCCAGTTATTACTTCAAGCGATCCCTGACTCAAAGAAACAAAAGCAGAAGATCCATATTCCTGACAAGAGGACTAAAAAGAAGGAGAAATTCCCACAACTACCAAAATCTACCAACAATATGAGGAAGAGAACTCGATTCAGGACAATCGAGAGAGACCAACAGGATTATAATGTTTATTCAGGAAAACTGAAAAGAAAGAAGAATGAACTTCTCCGTAGGAGCAGCAATTCCCCAGCTGTTCCAATGCCATCTCATTCCAGACTCTCTTCATACTCTAATAGGGTCAAAAATTTTGAAAATTCTTTGACGAGTGATTTCAAAATGGTTTCTCAAGGGATTAATTTTGAGGTTGAACCCACTGACATCCGTAACAAAAAGGTCAGAACCTCGATGAGTCACAACAGACCGAAGCAGTATAGCTATTTACGAGATAGGATACCTCCCCAGTCACGTGAAAATACCAGCAGCTTGATGAGAAGACCAAAGTATGACAAAATCAGTCCTGGCTCAAACTCTAATAAGAAGATGACTATCAGCACTAGAGATAGAGAGAGTACACGAATCTCTACAAAGCCCAAGACAGCTATGGGTAAGAGAAAGATAAAATCTAATATCTCTCTGCAACGCAAACCTACAAAAAGTAAGCTTTAAAACTATCTTTATAGAAAAGGTTGAGCCAGTTCAGAGCAAACTATTCACAATAAACACAAGCTACACATCTCAGCCACCTAACCACCCACGCTCGAAGACCTCGTCTCAGAAGGATCCTCATTCGACCTCTTACTACTATTCAAACATTACTAAATAACCGTCTTAAAAACCTGAACTTGGTGTCAAAGCCCACTTCCAAGAAGAAGGTAAATTTTCATTATGACCCCATAGAGGTCTTTGGCTCCAATCCAGAGGTCCCATAAAAGCCAGGTTGCGCCCACAAACAGATTTAGTCTTAAGCATCGCTCTCATGACGTAAGCATGATCACTGGAGGCAACCCTGCTAATAGCAGTTATGGAGAGATAGACTCCTCCAAAGCAAAGCATTATGATACTATTGGCTATGATTTCAACCATGAAGTTGATATCAGCGATAGAAAGAAACGAGACCTCAAGGAATACTTCAACCACAAGAAGTTCATAGCGGCTCCTAGTAAATAAATCCTTCAAAAAGGACTTCTCCACTATGAGGGAAAGGAATGCTTATGTAGAGTCTGACCTAGTGGTCCAAGATCGATCTGAAATCACCAGTATGATCTATTGTTGCTCATTTTTAGACACCGATAATTACAGCACCATTAGTAAAAACCTGCAATTTAAAAATGTGCCTAAAATCGAGCCTTATTTCAGTGAGAAAAATTTTGAGCCCAAGTTCACAGAGAGCATACTCAAAGAAAACAGGAAAGATACCTCTATAAGGAATGGAGGACTTGAGACAAGCCAGCATACCCAGCACAACCCTTGAACCGAAATGAACCAGGACACCATTAACCAAGAAACGGATATAAACAGAGATATGGGAATGTCTGATATCAAGGACCATCCTTCTCTTAGAGCTAGCATTCCTGAAGAGCTGACCAAAGAGGATCTCCTCGAGGAGAATCCTCAGCTCGAAAACAATAATACTAACCAACGTAACGATCAATTGAGTCAATTAATCTACGAGTGCTACTACGACCAACCTCAGAAACACAATGCAAGTCAGGTATATCGAAAGAGGTATGCCGAAATAGACACAACTCTTCACTGGAGTAAGGCTGGCAAGAGACTTCCTGTTGATGACTATAAGGACTCAATTGTCCCTCAGACCACAATTGAACAAGAGAACCTCCGTATAGCTGAAGAAGAGAATAAGCAATTACTTGAACAGCAAAGCCAGAAAATGCAGCAGCAGAAAATCCTTGAGGAAAACCAGCTTGCTCAGAAGCCAAACCAAGAAGAAGAAATTGATAAAAGTCAACACAAAATTGAACAGAACAGTGCTGAGTTACAAGACGAAGTTTGATTAGATCAAAATCTTCTCAACAAACTTCCTAAGGAAACAAGTGAAGAGTCTAGTAAACTCTCAACTAGATTTTACGACCCATCTGAGAATCAACCCAAGAAGGAGAAATACAAGATTAAGAACATAGACTGGCACACATCTGCCATCTGTAAAGATATTGAGAATACCACATTTGATCCTAATTGAGTGAGTTTCGAGCATATCAAAGAAATTGTCAGAGAAAATACTACCAATAATGACCTTAACAGTACTACTATTATTCATGAAGAAGGTACCGATGATCCTTCTGATACTACTGGTGTGATAAAGGAGTTCATCAAAGAAACCCTAGAGTCCTCAAATGACTGAATGATAAGGTACAATGAAGTAGATGCACTACTTGCCTTGATAAAGGAGAGATTCAGTGACTTTAAGCGATCAAAGCATCTCGATGAGTTTTTCAAATCTGCAAGCTTTACCCTCTATGCATTGACTTTAAATTTGTGACTCCCAGAGACACATTTCTATAGAATTATGAGCAAATACGAAGAAATCACATATGAAAATACTATTAAACTAATTATCCGCTGTAAGATCTTCTACGAGGCCAGAACCACTCTCTGCGACATCCTAACAATGATTTCCGAAAGAGAATACACAGCTGCTCTCCTCCAGACCGAAATCGCTTCACTAGACAGCTGTGACCAAGCCCCCAACACAGAATCCACCAACCTAAGGGCCTCTCTAAAACTCCTTCACGACCAGTCCACCTTCATTTCAGACAAAATCTCCCAATTTCGTACTCTAAAATCCCAAAAAGTCGGTCTTTCTTCTATAAAGCCCCTGTCAAAATCCAGCCCATTTGACCGCCCCTTCCTGTACAAGGAACAAGATTATACTACAACGATGAAAAGGTTTGACCAGATGTTGAGTAAGGTACTTGAAGTTCATGAAATAAGTATATATTAATTCAAAATTTACTATCTCACTCGGGGTTTTGGGGTTTTGGGGTTTTGGGGTTTTGGGG